ATTGTCATTAGCCCTATTTTCCACTGCGAACTTGCGCTAACCGTTTGAATGAATACAGGCGCAAGAACGAGCTGCCAAGCAAGCTATGGCCGAGAAGGCGAAGGAATTCAAACGAATGCAGAAGGAGGCTCTCAGCAAGGGTCTCAAGCCAGGTCTGTTATTCTTCTATTTTTTAACTGAGCATGTTATGTTGGCCATGGCTTAAGGTACAAACTTCACATCGTCGGCTACCGGAATATCGTCGTCATCAACACCGTTAACTGCCGTACAGGAGCCTGCTGCGCCTAGGCAAAGTGCCCTTCGTTAATGTCCGCTTGAAATGGGCAAGTTCAAAGGATCATCAAACTTCCATGAGGTGTGTCACGGTTTTGACTTCCACACAGAATGGTGATGGCATTCTAGTGCCTATATGGAAGGCCTACCGATGTACACTACTGGGTTGACCACTTTCGGGGGGAGGGGGCTTGGACGGCTGGGACAATGTGAAGTGAAGCCCGAGTCCGTGGCGCGCCCAATAACGTATTGACCAGAACTAAACCTTTTCACTTATCCTCAGATAGTCTGCGTTGCGGTAATCCCTGCAGAATCGCACATAAATTTTTCCTATTTTATCAGAACACTTACTTTCGTTAATGTTTGTTCATTTTTAACGCAGTCTCAAGGTATGCTGAAAAGCTGACAAGTGTAAATATTCTATGTTCAACTTCAGATTCCTGAGTATTGCCGGTCAAACGACGAAAAGGAAATCCTAGCGCATGATTTTGACTTGATCTTCGCTTTCGACGAAGTTGTCACACTCGGCTATAGGTACATGAATGTTTTGTTGTTAGTGTGACATGTCTCGTTGATCATTTTTGCTAAAATGGTAATATTATTTTATAGAGAAAGTGTGAATCTGGCGCAGATTCGTACATTCACAGAGATGGACTCGCATGAAGAGCGTGTATTTCTTCAGATTAAAGAGGTATTGTTTTACTTCAGATAGATTGTCATTAGCCCTATTTTCCACTGTGAACTTCCGCTAACCGTTTGAATGAATACAGGCGCAAGAACGAGCTGCCAAGCAAGCTATGGCCGAGAAGGCGAAGGAATTCAAACGAATGCAGAAGGAGGCTCTCAGCAAGGGTCTCAAGCCAGGTCTGTTATTCTTCTATTTTTTAACTGAGCATGTTATGTTGGCCATGGCTTAAGGTACAAACTTCACATCGTCGGCTACCGGAATATCGTCGTCATCAACACCGTTAACTGCCGTACAGGAGCCTGCTGCGCCTAGGCAAAGTGCTCCTTCGTCAAGAGCTGGAGGAGGAAAGGTTCATTGCATTCAATCTGTTAAAAACCTGAGTGTGGGCCACATTTACTTCACTTTTTAGATATGCATACTCGTTTTTATAGGCTTTGAAACTTGGAGCGAAGACTAGAGATGAGGATGTTTTCCTGCAACAACTTCGCCAAGAGGGACAAGCCATTGTAGCAGTGGAAAAAACATCGGTACATTACATTCAGTTAATGTTTTGCATTAAGATGTTTTCCCCAAATTACTGTTTTCGAAGATTCAAGATTGTTGCAGCGCGATCAAGGAGGATCGTCAGCAGCTGTTGCTCCAATATCTAATGTGAAACGCGAGGCAGTGCATGTGCGTACCGAGGAGAAGATGGTAGCCACAGTGAGCCGAGATGGAGGTTTACAAGGAGTGGAGGCATGTCAAGCCATTGTTGTACGTAGAATTAAAGATCAAAATCATATCAATTTAGATTCTTGGAGTAGTTTCGCTATCGGTATCATCGCCGGAATTCAACACAGTTGCTGTTCAAATGCATAATAAAGCCCCAGCGGGAGCGCAGCTGCAGGTTTGTTGAAAATTGATAAGTCGGATCTTTTGACCTATGCATCAACAACATTACCGAAGTGATTTTAATTGTCAGTTTATGGTAACTGAAAGATTAGCGAACGCTGAACAGTGGAAGATTCTGTAGGCCCCAGCTAAAGTGATGTTTTAGGTGCATCCCAATCTTGATAAAAAGGAGTGGCAGGCTACTCACATGCTCAAACTGAAGTCTACCGGGAAACCGTTCCCAGTCAACAACGATGTGGGCGTACTGAAGTGGAAAATGGTACTCACCGAAGAGGAACAACTTCCTATTGCTTGTGAGTTATGAAATTTCTCATTTTATTTTTCAGTTATTTAATTTTTCTTGCTGCTGCGTTGTTGAATTTCAGTCTAAGTTTTTTCCACGATGTCTATGGCTAATGCATTCCATTTAAGTGAACTGCTGGCCACAAGAGTCTGCTGATGGTTGTCAAGTAAACATTGAGTACACATTGCAAAGAGAAGATCTGTCTTTGGAGAACGTAATCATCACAGTACCACTGCCGTAAGTATATTTTTTGAACTGCGAATTTATCTGCTCAGGATTGTTCATTTGCTGAGCACAATCTGCTTGGCTTAGGCAGAGCGCGGCGACGTACACATTTGTCGCGGTCTCATATTTATTATCATATTGCATAATAATGTGGATTTATAAGTTAACAGTACATAAGTAATACAAGAATACCTGCCCTAAAAATGCCGGCCCTGGATTACCCTACTGTAACCGTGAACCAGGGCCAGTGTTTATGGTTGCGGCTGCAATAAAGAAAATACGTGCGCCAATTCAAGCATCTTCTAATCACAGCGAGCCCTGTCAGAAGGGTATGCTCATTCGCCGCGTGCCGCGCCGTGACTCAATTCATCGGGTTTGGAGATAGTCTCGCTAAGGAGAATCGCTGTTGCGTGCAAGTAGATGAGCGTGGCAAAAATTGGAGCAGATGTGCCCAAAACTGACCGCGCCCCACCCTTTCGTAATTTCATGTCTAGCAAGGGATAGGGGGCGTCGATACAACGCAGATGGCGTGGTCGCGCGAACTTTGAGGCGAGCAGTGGCTCACGGTATGGGTTGGTATTTCGTTCACTGACTGGATGTCAGGCGAACGTGGAGTATCACGCGCCAGGAGACTCGCACTCTGGTTAAACCTTCGCTTCAAAATCAGTATACCTTGTTTAAATGTTTATCACGGACCAGGAATGAGGGGCCTACACAAAATTGGAAACCTTTCTGTAGAATTTCCTTCCTACCGTAGCCTATTTGTATGATTGAGTTTTTAGTGCTGCTACTGTTCCTGTAGTATCCGACTGCGAAGGTTCATACGAGTATCAAAAGAGCCGCAATCAACTTGTATGGACAATGCCAGTGATCGACAGGTAACGGTTACTTTGTCTGTATTAGGTTCTCTTTATATTGTTGTGGTATTTTAGCACTAATTCAACTGGAACTCTGGAATTCACTGTGCCAAACGGCCACGCCGACCACTTCTTCCCAGTTCATGTCCGCTTCCACACCGAAAAATTGTACTGCGACATTGGGGTGAGGTGTTTCGCTGAACGTCTGCTATGCTTAGCAGTTTCCATTGGGTCTTTATGTGCTTCGGCACAGCTAACTAATATTAAATCTATATATGAATGCTTTTCAAGGTGGACGCGGTTCAAACGATTGATGGCAGTTCGGCGGTACCATTCTCTGTTGAAACCCGCTTGATTACTGAGAAGTACGAGGTAGTGTGAAGTCATTCACCAGCACAATTATTGAGCGCTGTCGGTTTTTTTGTTTACTTGTTTCTATTAAATTAAGGATTTAGTTTATCAGATGGTTGGTATTGTCTTTTTAAATTATTTATTAATCTACTTTGGCGGTAAGCAATGCCGTTTTGATCTGTGATATCAAATCTATGGTGTTCGCTTTTTTCCTTTAAATATGTACAGCCTTTACAATTAAACATTTTACATACGATGAGAGCACTTTTCTTGGAAAATGATGTGATAAGACAATGAATTGCTTTTGAGAACCTATTATCACTTAAGTAATTCGCTCGTTTTACTCTTTTGCTCTATAGTTATTTATGTGTAAACATTCATTCTTTAAAGTGGAGCAAAACTATCTGAACGTCCATAACATTGGTACCAGTTGGTCCTGTTTTGATGTGGTTTTTACCATCGTTGTATGCAGACCAGAACTCGTACGAGTTTGACGTGTTCAGGTAGCTGTTACCCTCTTTTACTAAATCGTCCTTGATGTCATCATTAGAGATAAGCGCCCCAGCTGCATCAGTGGGCCCATCCTGCCCATCAGTTCCAGCTGCTAAAAACAGGAATGGTGGAAGGGGAACAGAGTTTGAGCTGAGCGATATCAGACAAGAGAGTGCCATTTCTTGACATCGTCCTCCTCGTCCTTTACCATGAAGTACAACAGTCGTCTCGCCACCGAACAGTAAAGCAACCTAGGTAAGACACAAGTTTCCTGCAGGTTAAATTATCAAAAAGCCGACGGCATTAGCTACTGGGTGGCCTACATTCATTAAATTCACCTTGTCGCCTTGGAATTTAGTTTTCTTGCCAAATTTCTCCAATTTTGTTGGTAGACCGTCTTTTCCAGCACAGATTATCTCAGCAAAATATCGCCCAACCTCTGTAGCATTACCCTCAAGCCCAGAGCTCACAATATGCGAATCGTATCCAAGTGAATTGAAGAAATCCTTCATTTCCTGGAGAGCATAACTATTTGAAGCAATGATGATGTTGTGTGGTTCAGAACTACCCAACGTGGACGGTGAGGATTCCTGAAGAAGTGTTTACAGAATTTGTTATGCTTGATTGAAACACATAAGCGCTTGCTAAATGATAATATTATTTTACCCACTAATCAGAAAAAAATATTTGACACACCTGGACCTTGTCCAGTATTTCTGATGATAGCAACGATGTCCATTTCGGAGATGTAATGATTTTCCGAGACAATTCTTGCATGGAAGCCGTCTGTGGAATAGTAGGACCGCTTGCGATAAACTGTATCAGGTCATCGATTAGGTCCGATATCAGCAAGCTGATCACCTGAACAAAATCTGTGATTTTCACAACAAGATGAGTATTTCGAAACCTCAATTTCAGCTGAGTGGTGGAAAGTTTTGAGAAAATGCATCATACCGTTCCTTTCTTCACAAAATTCAACGTTTTTCCTCCTTTCACTGCGGACAATTTCTGTCGAAATGCATTGAGTACCCGGATATCGGCACCATTTGCTGTGAGAGTTCTTATCGTGGAAAGTTTTGCGTCCAGGGAAATTCCATCAGGAGCACAGAACAGAGCTGAACCACCCCCTAGAAAAAAGTCATCAAACCTTGATGCAATGGTATTTCAAGGCCATCAGGGTATCAGAGTACGCAGACTTTCTTATAATAAAACCACAGAAATATGACCAGTTATCGCGAAGACAAACCGGCAAGAAAATGAAATTCACGAAAGATAACTGGCTGTAATAAACTGTGTGGAAGCTATAAGACTGGAAAAAAGGTTACATATTTCAAGATTTCTCATCCAATAGGAATTTACTGTAACTATTATTATACCATTTAGTGACAGTTTCACGTAGCGTAAAGTGCATGGAGATGAGTATTGTGTGCAATAACTCAAAGAAAGTTTCGATGGACGAAAAAGAAAGCAATTTTTATAATTGAATTACCTGAGAGAAGGAAAAGGAACACGACGTCATCTGCATCGTTCTTCTGGATAGAGCGGAGAGCCTCTTTAGTCGCAGCTACGGAATCCAAATCTGGCAAATTGTTTCGCCGCCCCATAACATAATACTTCGAGCGTACTAGCCGTGTGTCCCTAGCACAAGGAATATTTGTTTGTTTTGTTCACAACTACGCATTCTTGTAAAACAAGGAATATTTCCGATATGAAACGAACACATTTTCGATTACTCAAAAAGCTCGTCAATAATGAAGTGTAGAGAGATGCATAGTGAAGAGAGAGCACATACTAGTGATTGCCACACAGAATATCGTTAGCCTAAAGATTGGAGTTTTGTATAGGGCTTCGTGTCTACGGGCTGCTTTGATTCGGCCCTTTAAAACCCTAAATGTGCTGCCCTCGTCTGACTCTATCACCTGAACAGCGGTTCATAAATCCAGTAACGCGCGCAGGAACTAACTTGGCTTTTGCCATGCTAAGAAATGACTCCCCTGCCCTAAATCACTCATTTTCTCATTACCTCACGATTCCATTTGTACATTAACAACTGGAAGGCTTCGCTTCTAGCCATTTACGGCTGAGGGCTTTTTCGACAGAGAACATTATGGAATTGAAGTAGCCACGCTGCCCTTCCCCTCAAGGGAGAGAAGGAAATCTAAATGCTTGTTTACTTTTGGCAGGTTCGTATTTCCCTTATATAAATTACCTAAACCGTTCTTTTTGATGTCTTGAGGCAATATCTGTTGCAAAACAGTTTTCAAGGAATTACTTCCCCGACGTACGGACAACTTGAACTCGGTCCTTTAAACTGCCTTCATTTGATGCTCTCGCCTACACTCTCTCGCTTAAACAGCTGCTTATGGTTACTGAGATCGAACACATTCAAACTTTGCCACATTGTATATGGCTCACCCACTACGGAATCTCCTCCTTCAAAGGCTTAGTCCCTAGAGCTGTCACCCTCTTTCTTGGGTTTCGGAGACCAGGGCCGTATGCTGAATGTTGGGTAGGGGCTGGGGTCCCCGGCCCGCGATGCTGAACGTTGGGGCTCCCAGCAGAGTTTCGTCGCGGGACCGGGCAGCCTTTGACCGGTCCTTTGATTTTACGATTACTTTTTCGCTTTTTTATGTATTTACACTGCTTAGACAAATGTAAGATTTGGACTGCAGACTGCTTAGATTTGTAATCTAGAACAGTGAAAAGACAAAAACTTCATCACAGAATTAAAGGACTGGCCAGTCACCTGTAGGTCCCGCGACGAAACTCTGCTGGGAGCCCCAACATTCAGCATCGCGGGTCGGGGACCCCAGCCCCTACCCAACATTCAGCATACGGCCCCAGCGCCGTTCTCTAACGGTCTGTGCTCTAGCGTTTCGCGGCAAGAGAAATAGGGAGGTTCAAGTAGTCACGTAATCCTTCCCCCGTACCCCTAAGGGAAAACACATCAGACCCATTGGAGCGAGAAGAGAAACATTTATGAAAACACATTCGAGGATTCAGACTCATTAACAGAGACAATTCGTCAAGGATATACTGTTTTACCGAATTACTTGGAGCAATTGCAATTCCATGTGATTCGTCGAACCTAGCCCGGTGTTCTCGCCAGAGGCCATTGCGAAACGATGCCTTCCAAAAAGCAGTTGAACTGAACGAAACGCGCGTAGTTGATACACCAGTATCGAAATGCTTTCGAGCGAAAGTGTTACAAGTAAGTTTGTCATCGGCGAGTTTCAACGCCTAAAATACATATAGAGTTGGAAACACCTGCTTTTCCACGGAGTTACACAGGACAGACCACAACACTAAACTACCACATAATTTTCTTTCTTGCATGGGTGAATTCAAAATAGGATTGCGTCAGGAACTTGTCAAGGTAGGATAACAATATTTCCCCAGTTTACTCTATTTAAAAGCTGAATCAATTTCGACAGGCTTCAGCGACATGTTTTGATTGCAATGACAGGAGTTCTGTGACAAAAATTCAATCCCTTCCCGTAAGATTTCATATGGTTTTTCCATTTTGGAAAAAAAAGAGGAATAGCTAATGAGGCTTAAAATTATTATTTATCCTTTTCTACACAAGCAATTAGGGTGTACTAGGCATCGCAACCACCGACTTAAACGCACTGCACAAGCCTCAGTCTTCATACAAATCAAGCTCCTGTAAGAGATAGAAGTGTGGAATTAGTATTCAATATGAGAAAGTATTTGGCGACACTACTTTTCGGACATTTAAATGGAACCTAAAGCAAAACGTCGTAGAGCGCTAATGGCGGCGATTAAGCCTTCAGGGGCCGTATGCTATGCTCCCCCAACAGGGGAGGGGTCCCCGTCCCGGTATGCTATGCTCCCCCCGACAGTTCTCGGGGAGAGGCCACGCCCACCGATAGCCGGGGATATCTCCCCTATCGCCTGCCGATCGGGGCAAGCCGGGGATACCGTAATTTCGTAGCCGCCGTACGCATAATTGACTGTCGCGCGCACAATTCTTCTATGGGTTGCGTACTGCAGTTTTAAGAATTGCTTATTTGTGAGTACATCACTACAAATATGATGTGCAGAATAAGGTTTAGTGTCGGACACCCTTAATCAACCCCACCAAACTTTTTTCAAATGATTTGGTCACGTTCGATCCCATGATTGTTATTTATAGCATCTTAAACAAAGATTTGGATGCTATGTTATATTTTTTACATTTTGCAGATTTTTAAGCTTCGTACTTGAGATTGTGAGCTATTACATTACGTGACACTATTTACCGTTTAGATGGAGGCAGCCTGATGTAGCTGTTTTCCATCGATCAGTTAACTATATTTTATCGAAGATAGAACCAAAGATTTTTTTCACATGAAAAATATTGGCTATCGAAGCCACTTGACTTATTCACAAACGTGAAACGCAGTATTTAATTTCTACTGATCATATCGCGCACTGACACAATTCTTATACGTAGAAAATAAAGGCAGTATCAAATGTCTTGCCAACCAACCATAATTAAGAAAACTTGAACGCAATATTAAAGGCAAATCGCGCTCTGCGCTGGAAAAGGGGAATTAGAAGGATGAAACCGCGGGTTTTCCCAATTACAGAATGAGCTCCCTAAAAACCTGTTAACTTTGAATTGAGATACTGTGTGCAGGCTTAAATATGCGATAAAAGGAACAAGTACAATACAATAAATGTTCCATTGCAGCTGGCGTCCACAGTTGGGGAGATTGAAGGACTAATTTACGTACAAGCTGACTCCAGTCATGAGTTAGGCCCTTCTCCTCCTCTAATACTCGTTTGTTTCGAGTTAGATCTCTAATTTGTTGAAGCATTTCCATTGGATTTCTTTTGCGGAACATGTTCGTAATGCTTGTAGGAAGCAAGTAAGAATCATACCTATATTTAATACAAGGAGGTACTTGCTCGCTGAATGAAGCAATCAGCAGCGGGGAAATCTTTGTTTAAGTTCATCGCAAAATTAGATTGTTAGAAGATTATCTGCTTTTATTCTGACCACAGCAAGTTTTCGAGTTCTTCAAGATAAATCTCTGGCTAATCTAATACATTTTATAGAATGATGTATAGAATGATCTTCTTCGGATCATTACCAACATGGAGCGTGAAATGAGGTGGCTGATTAACTCCTTAAACATTCTCAGTAAATGAAGTAAACGATATACGTCAAATTGAGCATTATTAAAACGCTTCAGATGCTCTATGGAAGACAATGCTGATCATAGTCATAATATAGTGGACATCAAAGAATTCTAATGATTTTCTCCTTAACTTTCGAGGTAACATTGCTAATCTTCGATCCTGAGTATCCTATCCTGCATATGCACCCTAAACTTTATAATTAGTAGCTTTTTAAGCCTAAAACTAATGTCTGGCAAGATGCCAAGTTCTTCGCGCCATGGATACTCTGCATGTCTGCATCCCCTGGGGAGCCCCGCGAGCATAGCATACGGCCGCTTTCGGGGCGGCCGCAGCCGGGGAGCTCCCCCAATAGGGGGCCCCCCTTGTTGGGGGAGCATAGCATATACGATTCAGAGATGTCCGCCGGCGCGAAAAAACGCACAGGCGAAAATCTCCGCCAAGATTTAGATACGCATCGACTGAGAAATTGTGAAACGCGTAAGCGAAACGTCCGGAGCAGGCGAATTTCAGTCAAGAGTTTGATATGTATCGACTGTGAGAAACGCACAGGCGGAAAATCGCGTGAGCGAAGCGTTCGTAAGTCGATGCGTATGATACTCATTTTCGTCGATCCTCCCACTTCACGATTCGCCTGTGCGTCTTCGTTCAGTCGATACCATTTCTATTGTTTCGCCTTATGCTTGTATTGCGCGGCAAAGCGGAAATCTCTGCGTTTGTGCGCGTAAAGCGTTTTTGATTTTTTAAAAAAAAAAAAAAATTTAAATTTTTTTTTTTTTTTTTTTTTTTTTTTTTTTTTTTTTTTTTTTTTTTTTTTTTTTTTTTTTTTTTTTTTTTTTTTTTTTTTTTTTTTTTTTTTTTTTTTTTTTTTTTTTTTTTTTTTTGTTAAAGGGGGGGGGGAATCGGATCTCCAGCATTGAATGCTGTGAAAGACCAAGATATGTTCGAGTTTACACGTCTCGCTCGAGAGAGCAGAGTGCCGCGCGCCGTGCCCCCCCCCCAACTACCTAACCCCTAACCAGCGGGATTAGCCACCTGAAGGGGGAGGTGAGGGCAGTTACTTGACATGCGTGAAAAGCTGTAATGTTCGAGTTCATCGAGAATCATCATGACCTCCCCCTGAGTGGAATAGACCCCAATCTACCGATACGAGAACGGCGATAACGCGACTAGGCGATTTGGTTGGCGATTATGCTCCATGGTCGAGGAATAGTGCACATGATCGGATGAGTTACGCCCAGTTGAGCGTTCGTCCGATGCATAGCGTATTCTTCGGTCGATACCATACAGTCATTTAGCAATAATCGCTGAGCCCCAGATCGCTTTGTCGCATAATCGCTTCAATCGCCATCTGTGAACGGGGCCTAACAACAGCAACAATCGACGTGGGTAGATGCAGAATCTATGGTGGTTCAAGGCCGTATATCCAATCCCTTCAGGCTGGGGAAGAAAATCCTGTGGCTAACTTAGCTGTTGGGGGGCCGGAGGGAGGAGCAGCCTCGGGCGCGGCACTTGCTCACCTGGGCTCTCTCGAGCGAGACAGTGTAAACTCGAACATTCCAGCTTTTCACGCATGTCAAGTGACTGCCCCACCCCCCCCCCTAGACTGCCTACACTCCCCCTGGCCCACGGATTTCCGAACATGCCAGGCGAGCAGACTGCCGCGCCGCCGCGTGCCCCCCCCAACTAAGTTAGCACCAATCCCTTTACTTGTAGTTGGTTGGCTTCACAACAGTTTCTCCACGGTAAGGCTTACTTTAACCATACTACATGAGCTCAGTGCCCCGTAGGAGGCGTTGAAGATGCATTGTAGTATGTGCTGGTTAAAAGTAAGCGTCTATACCGTGAGGGGAAAATGCTTTGTCTATTGTTTGGGATACGTATAGATTTATGATCTTTCTTCTTCTCTCAATAGCGGGAAAGTGTGTGTGTCCTCAATAGGAGATGTTGGGTGTGAGTTGAACTAGCACAAGTCGCAGGTGTCTGTTCTCACTGTCTCAAAAGTGGGTGCAGGGGCTCTAGGGCCTTGAATACCATTTCTATGACTTTCATTAACCACGTTCTTGTCAAGAGGAATCTAACTATTTTCTGTCAAGCGGTGATAAGTATGATTTTGTAGCTTTCAACTCGACGGCTAAGAGATTGGTCGATGGGATTTTGCAGTCTCCGGAACACTGCTCAAAATGTTTCTTTAATACTGAGTAGCAGAACCTACATATCCACAGTCGCAGTGGCCACGATAATAAAATAAGGGAATTCTAGGATGACGGGACTCCGAGGACGGAATAAATTGAGCCTGCGTTCTTTTAGTAAATGCTCTTGATAGGGTGATTTCTGTGGAAATAATTATTAATAGGGAAGTGGGTATTTTGTTTTCAATGGAGTCCTCGCCCGTTGACGAGCCATACCAAATTGTGTAGTTTTTTTCAGAGCAGTTGATGCAAGATGCTGACAAATTATTGAACAACTTTTTTGATGCTTACTTAGTTTGAGGGGCGATCGCGAGACCGCAGTTCACATATGGACCGCATTCTCTCAGAAGTGTTGAAAGTCGATCATGAAGCAAGTCTCTCGAAATTTTCACTGTTCTTGGTTTCAACTGAAGAAAGAGCAAGACAAGCTCATATATTCGTTTTTGGGCCGCCGTCACCCTTTCTGCAAAGTCTTGCGAGCCTGTGTGATGCTTAGACGAAGCTACTGTGATTTACTTTGTTCTTTTGTTTTTTACACTACACATGTCTTGAATAACTTCACTGTCTATATGAGACGTGCCTATTATTTATATTCTCAGTTCTTTGACGTCGAATCCGGACATTGAGGTAAGAAGGGTAGGGAGCCTATGATAGTTATCCTTGATGCTTTTGTGTCTGGAGGGGATTATTGAGCTTGAACACTGCGTCGGTTTCTCCTTTTTTAAGGGCTTTGAGTGATATGCGAGAATATGTCATTCACATCACGGTTTCAAGTATACGACAGGTTTATGTTTCCTCTTAGGGAACGTGTCTATGTGGTTTCTTCTTGCCTTGCTCTACAGCTTTCTGTCAAGTCTGTGCGGCTACTTTGGTATTCGTGTTGAGAATGCGTAATTTAACTCGCTTTCGAAAGGAAGCCAGGACGAAGCCCCTGAAGCACTGACTCGTCTCGGTCGGTTTATCTCGGGCGGCTTCGGAGTGAGCAAGCTGTATTTTCGGATGGAATAATTATCAGAAGCTTTGAATCAAGGTGATACACGGTTAGTATGAATTTTACTGGACACTTATAAAGCAATTGCAGGCAAAGGGAAGAAGAGACGATATATGAATTCTTATAAACGCAGTTTTGAATTTGTGAAATGGAGAGGGCAGCTACGCCCTGCGTGTGTTGCCCCTTGCCACTTTTCCGCTCTTTCGTCTTTTGCTGTGGAACTGATGTGCAACAAGTAGCACGCATCGCGAGAGGCGATCCGTCCGCCTTTGGCGCGCAAGTGCTGGCGACGTCGCGCGGTGACCTTTGCCACACACCAGGGTACTTCAAAGTGACAGTGATAACAGGAGATACGCTTCATACTCAATGAATACGAATGTCATAGAAACCTGCTGTATAATCGAAAGTCAAACATTTATTAAGTATTCTATCATGGTCATAAGAAAACAATGGAATAAACTAGCACTTGGAATGGATAACAGGGTAACCGGCTAATGCCCTCACTTTCGACATGTTAGTACTGAACCTTTTCAACCTTGTTCGACCACAACTTGAATGGTCGAAGGCAGTCGGTAGCCGAAAGGTGCTCCAGTTTCCTGAAAACGTTGAATACAGATTGTAAGGTGGGCTATCACTTACTATAAAAGTGGGCCAACAAGAAATGATTTCTGTGTTTTGATCAGTCTAGGCTTTGAATCGTGTCAGCCTGGAGAAACTAGCCTAAAGCCGGATCTTGAGCCTTGGAGAAAGCCCATTAAGCACACACGATCATGTCTGTGGAGTTCCTATTACGTGAATACAGAGCGGCGTGATTATGCAGAACATGGGAGGTGGAACAATGGGAAGCTTCGCCTCACAGGTGCGCCACCGCGGGCTACGAGTCACAAGCCACACCCTTCGCCTTTAGTAAAACCTCGAGAACAGCAGGTAATTACGGCACGCACTAATAGCGCTTACTCGCGCGCGTGGTGACTCACGAAAGAGCTAAAAGCTAAAGTTTGTCTCCCAGAACTATTCTCCCTAATCTACTTATCAATGACCCCTGATTGACTTATTTAATCTTCGTTCCTTGAAGTTCCTTGTCAAACTGTTCCATGGGGCCGTTAAAATGGACAGATGAGGACGGGGCGAGGAGGAAAGAAGGTCGAATGGAAGGCGCCTTTAGTAGAAGTCGAAGAGGCCTCTCAAGTGTGGACACAAAAACTGCGATTAAAGCGTTTTTTAGAGGTCGTGAGCACAGAAGTTTGCTTGAACAGTGTTGAGAGAACCTTTGTAGCTGAAAAGGAACTGGGGGTCTCGTCATGTGTAGGATCTTTACGGAAAAACCATCATAGGAGAGACGAAATTAAGCTCTACGAGCACTAAAGTTACCCCTCGAAATTGGCGCGTCAGCCGTACGCGTTTGCCGTCTGTCTTCTTTCTCACCGCTCGGTAGCCCGTCTGGTCTCGGCTCATGTCCAGGGCTACATCCGTAAACTCCTATATTCTAGGACGACATCTCCAATGGAAATGAGGACTTTTAGTGGTATTGGTTGCCCGCTTCAATTTTTTCTTCATTTTGCGGGACCATCGAAAGCACCACTAGTTTTGCGTTTGTGGCGAACGATTGATTGAAGTACCAACAGCCTTTCAAAAAACAGGAAATTCTTCCGAAATTCTCGTAGTTCACCTCGCAATAACATCGCACATGTGGAGGAAATTCCTGATGCTTCAATATTTTATTCGAATTACAAAATTAATTACTTTTCCATTATCAGCACTAGGGCGGAAGTGGTGTAGTGGCAAGTGGCACGCTTACCACGCGAGCGGTCCGGGGATCAAATCCTGGATCGTGAGTCGCCCGGGCCAACCAAGCCTTCCATCCCTCCGGGGTCGGTTAATTGGTACCAGACTTGTCTGGGAGGATAAAAAACACTGACTTGAACATCGGCTGGCCCCCGCAAGTCATTGTATAGGCCACATCGCATTCAAATGCCACTGCGAATGTACAAATGGAAGTAGAATGCGTGCCGCATCCCAAAAGGGATTGATCAACGGCAAATGCTTTATCCTTATCCTTTAGTCAGCACTAATTCTGAGTATTGTTTACTGCAAACATGATAATCCGGAAAATATTAGCGGTTTTCAAGCCGTTTGCCTACAGCTTTCAAACAGCTTTTGGCGTTTGATCACGCTCCGCATTCATCATTTAAGTACATAGAGCAATATTCAATTTTGGCTACAGGAGTTCTATGTGCGTCTCGAAACAGTACACTTTTGGGTATGGTTTGCCCCTGTAGGTTATGAGTTGAATAGTACCTTGTTAGCCAAGTGGGTAGAACTACTGTCTATTTGGTCTCTAGGCGTAGATTAAATTATAAAATTTGGGCATCTCCTAATTCTAATTCGCTCTTCTAATTTAATTAGCGAAGAATGTTTTTGTTGACAGAAAGGTAAGTAATTTTCTATTTGTTTCTGACTGTGATAAAAATTATTCTTGTTACTATACCATTTTTGAAAACATAATGAAGATTTAGCGACCCGGAGGAGTTCATCGCTCAACCTACCTCGTATCGTCGGATCTTGGATTTTTCAGGAAATCATGGAATGCTTTGTCATCGAAACCGATTTCTGCTGCCTGTAATAATTCGTATTGAGAACCGGCAATAGATCAGATTCAATCATGTATTATACATATGACCCGGGAAAAATGATTTCAGTTTTGATTGTAATTTTAAAATAATGATTAGCCTTAACTTGTTTTTGATAAAACGCTTGCCTGCTCAGCTGATGCTCCGTAGTAGATGGCATCGAATCGGGCCCACAGACAGGCTCCCATGCACATCGGACAGGGGTAGCACGAGGTGTACAGAACACAACCAGACAAATCGAATGTGCCTAAAATGGGGACCTTTCTTGACTAGCTATGTAAATCAACTGAACGACTTTAAAAATATGTAGTAACGCTCCGTCCGAGCTGTGGTGGAGCCTTTCATACTATAAATACATACAGATTCGAACTTATGATTTGTTAGTGAAGGGGAAAGAAGCTTGAGAAAAAAGCTTCAAAAACCTACCGAGTGCCTTGCAAGCGTTCCGAATTGCCGTCACTTCGGCATGCATCGTTGGATCGTTCGTGACTATTACCTGCAACACAAGCAACTCATTTTCTGTAGGATTTACGCCTTCCGTCCTCGAATTCAGTACAGTTTCATCAGCAGTGGATGACCTCGAGAATATTTGACTGGGATATCCCGTACTTACGATGGCTCACTTGCCGTGCCCACGGGCGTAAAGCCACTCATGAATCGGACTTCGCCAAAAGCAGCTGAACGGTCCACCTCTTCAGGGTCGGTTGACTGGTGTTTAAGTTCAAGGATTACTAAAACACTGAATCATGTATCGATTGGCCTTTGAAATTCATTCCCCAAGTGAGATCGTATTCAAACGACCCTGAATCGAAGTATGTGTAGTGCGTGGCGTATCCAAAAAGGCATAGCGAACGCAGAGTAATTCATCTGTAAGATTTCAGCGAATACTGCTCGACCCTGGATTTTATTCATCCGTGTACTTCTTTGTATACGGTCTCCTTGAAGTTAATTTGATTGTTCTCGCTTTTATTAAGATTTGACTTTATAAGCTTTCTACTCCCACAACATTTATAAGCAAATATGCAGGGGGGGGGGACAGAAAATTACGTGCGCCATTAAAAACGACCTAAGTTCATTTTGCTCATAAAAATTCAGAATCAATTTTATAAAACAGCAAACCCTAACAATGATTATAAAAGGGTGTCAAAGTAGCCGCTGCTTAAGTTTTGATAAGATTGAATTATTTCGACATTGGAGGTCGATGTTTCGCGGCGCTAGGCTGGAGGGTCGGCTTAATGGAGAAAGAATTCTCCATTTAGCGGGCTAAAACTAGAAATAACTATCAACTTTATTGCTGAACTCTTGGAAAACATTTGTACCCTCGCCTTCAAATGACCAGAAATTGTGCAATTGCAGAAATTGACGTGGCATTAACGTGGCATCGATTCAAGAACATCTTTGAGCACACGTGATGTCACCTTTTCATCGAGAATTTAGCCACGTGTGCCAATGCCACGTCAATTTCTGCAATTGCACAATTTCTGGTCATTTGAAGGCGAGGGTAATTGGAAAGCACCTGCATGAATTCCGTTCGCTGAAAGTATGATGATTTGGAGTAGTATCAGTGCTTTGGGCAACCCCTCCCCCCATTGAATTTCATCGATCAAGTCATGAAAATCAATGCGAAGGATATATCATGAAGAGGTCTTCAAGAAAGCTCTGGTGCTCTGGAAGCAGAGTCACAACAATCTTGTCTTTCTTTGCCCATGAACAAAAAATGAAGTCAGGATATTTTTCGTGGCGCACGTAATTTTTCGCCACCCTGTATTACGGAGAGAGAGTTTCATTTGCTTCCAGTTCTCTCCCAGCAAAACGATTGCGTTTAAGCTTCCTAACTTTATTTGCTTTTGTTGGGTGTTTGCTTGATGACGTTAATGATTTCATAGCTGCACTTCATTGCTAGAAGTCCGCCAACTGCAGCATACTGTAGGTTTTTTGTATATCATGAACATACCCCTGTTATGTCATTGATCAACGCATACCACTAAAAGTGAGTTGTGAGCCATTGAGCCTATATTTCAAAATTGTTTAAAAATTGGAACTACTTAAAAATCGCCTTATCGAGGGAGATGGAGTTCCCCACAAATAGGAGATTCTTCTAAACATTCAAAGGCAATGTCCGGGATCGAAATGGTGTGTTGGGATGCATGACAGTGGGATGTGAAGGGCAACGTCAGTAATGAAAAAACGAGAGAAAAAAACGGCAAGAAATCGTGAACAGGAAGCAAAATGGAAAACCCTCTACAATGATAGCGAAGTGAGGTAGCATCGATTTGTAGACGGAATTCACGGTGAAGCAGAGCAAAATGCAAGGAAAGGGCGTCCTTGGGCCTTAATACTTCAACCTTCTTAAGTCGCGACCCCAAGTGAGTACACACATGCTTTCCACTTGCCTACCACTCTATATTTCTCGCGCAAAGGCTCCACTTCGTCCAGAAATCCCGGTATTTGGCCTTAAGCGGCGATTGCGAATTGTCTAGAGCTTTTAGAGATTCACACAACTGCCAAAGCAGTTGTGCTGCTGTCATGTGGCAAGACTCATGTAGAGAACTGAGGCAAGGTGAGCCGCTCATGGTGGGGGATAGCCAAGACGAATTTGAATGGTTGCTGGAATCATACTCGCTCACGCCCACCTCGCCCACACCTCTACGCGAATTGCACCCCCAAATTTTAAAGGATGGCTTTGAAAGATTAAGTGGGTCGGTAGCTTGCACAAGGTTAGTAGCATTCTATTTGGTAAACCGTTCAAGAGCTGAGATTATAGATTGAAACCCACTACTTGCGTAAATCATCACCTTATTATTCAAGTTAGCCTCAACCTGTCAACCGTAGTACTTGCCCGATTCAGAATTTTTACCTCCCCTCCATCCTCGGTGAATGATAGTCCCGACTTCCGATGAGCATATTTCAACCTGACAAATCTACCATACTTCCCTCGAAATCTCATAAGCACAGTGGCAGCAGGTGTGGGGAGTAGTGGTATAACTACAGAAAAAGCAAGTATCGTTCAAATCGCGATTCTTTTATCAAAATTCTCAGAAGAGTGGCTTCTACCATGTATTCAGGAGATCTAAGCATACTTTGCGGGGGCACTCCTCAGTTGAAATCACAAAATTCCGACTGCTCGTCCATAGTCCACTAGTCGCCACTTAGGAATCATCCTCCTCTACCAGAGGCATAGAAGGATCACATCGCCCACAGCATGGATCCTTACCAGGGCCTGAAGTAGGGTAGGTGAGTAGGTACAGGTAGGTAGGTTGTACAAGGCGAATGGTCGCGACCCCGACAGCAAAAAACTGGCATTTGCATAGTCATGATTGTCTGACTGCTGGTTTTTGGCAACAGTTTTCGTCTTCGCGAAGGTTTCACATCAAGAATGCTCCCGGTGGTGAATAAAACTTCTTCGCCAAATGGGACATAGGGTCAAAAACAAGTCAAAGTCAATTGCTAAAACGTTCAGCCTTGCCGTTCACTGACGATGTCGACTAACCAGCTCAACAGGTTTTGCGTGTGAGTGCTGACAAACTATGGTATTTTTACCTTGAAAAAGTGAGTTGGGATGAAATGTAACTTGAAGCGTACTTGCCCTATAAGCGAGAGGTGCGGGTTCGAATCCCGTCTGGGGCGAAAGTTTTGTTCACAACCCTCCACTCGTGTGAAACTTTGGTTAGTTGTCATTTTCTTTCAGCACATCCCACTTCTTGAGTTGACTCCCGCCCGAAACCATTCTCCCATCGGGAAACAAGTAAACATGAATAACAAATGGATTCGTATGGTCGATCACATGCACAAACGATTGCTCACATCAAAGCGATGAAATTGCGAAACTTCATTGCTCTCGGGATGTGTTTACAGAGAAACAGATGACCATGCTTCATCGTTTACTTTGCTTTTTTGCTCGATTACCAAACATTACAGCGCTACGAGACAACTTCGTTTATGATGTCTGGATTTTTCAAACACTCGCCTTTGACAAAAAGTGGGAATCAATGCGATGGCGTGGGAAGAGGCATAAAAACCTGGGTAATCACAGCGATGACACAGCTGAATTTCGTATTCCAACCAGAAGGTCCGAATCCACGTCAGCATCTGACGAATACCAGTAATACAAGAGAGCTGTTGGAATCGCTGCTCAGGGTGTGAGCTGGAATCTTTTCGTCTAGATCTCTTCATCTAGATCTTCTGAGAAGTGTTATATCGAGCCTAGCGGTGGCGCCTGCCCAGGAAATTGTAAAGGCCCTGTCCACAATTTTGGGTCTTTTCACCTACACAGTTTCGAGGTCTTGTTAGCAGACCAAGTAGCTTCAAGGCAGTCAGAAATCGGCTTCAAAATGATTTCTCCCATTCAACCCCTTCTTTGGGTCTTTTGGGAAAATTTGCAATCAGCGTGGCAGAATTGGGCGCAGGAGGCTGAAACTGAAAGACAGGTCTCCGAAACCGTTTTCAGGTTCGGAGGGCGACAAATTAGCCAAGGCATTTGAAGCAGCATTGGAAAGGATGATGCATTCCAGTCCTTTTGTGGATTCTGTGAATTTTGTAACTAGCGCAGCAAGAATCGGGAACTTGATGAGGAAACTGTAGTTTTCAGGACTTTGAAGTACTGAATAGTACCTCCGAATGGCTCACCTGTAGATGAACTCTATGAAGTTTTTGCATTTTATAGCAAATTTTAGGGTTCTACTCAGTAAGGGGGGCATGTGGTGCGACAGCTCCTATAGCCTGAAATAAACCAATTTTGTTGGCAGGAGAAATGATCTCCGAGCTGAATGAAAACGGAGGCGAAATGGCCCACTTACCGCGGGGATTTTTTGGCCTGCGACAGTTGGAATTTTCTGTAGGTGACAGCAGCTGTCGCTCAACAACCCCCTTACCCCTTGACTGGATGCGACCCTATTTGTGATTTATAAAGTGTTCTTCAATTATAAAAAAACTGTGGGTAAAGCCGCTCACAATAGCTCCCGATTCAAGCAAAAATGGTTATTCGCTCACCCTCGCTTGAGGAAAACGAACCCATTTTATGAGCCGCGAATTCCTCTCGAACCTCGCTCGGGCTGAGGATCATCGTTCACTCAATGAATGAAAGGTCAATTCGTTCATTGAACCCCGTCGATCCCTCAGCTTCATCGGTCACGTATAATTGTTTCTTCCAAGCAACAAAAAAGGTTTCCAGCAAACTGCGATAATAAGAGATACGGCAGGAAATAAACGCCGTCAGGGCAAAACAGGTGATAGCGCCGAAATTGGTCGGTCTGATGGCAAAAGAAGAGCGAGTATTTTGTACGAACGTGCCGATTTCGTATAACTTCAATTCTCCCCCCAAACTTTTTACATTGGTAAATAAGGCAGTGCTGTTTTCTTTCAATCTGTGAAGCAAGTTAAATGGCTGATCGCCCCCGGATTACTGGTGCACCTATACGTTTTTGAATTTTTTTAACACTTCTTGGAGATTTTCCTGTTTCACTCGCTTGTGAT